GTGATGAAACACCAAGCTTGCCAAGAATACCATAATGCAGCTGACTAGCAATGCTTTAGTCATAATATCAGCCAGTTGACCTGAAGTAGAGACAAAATGCAAAGTAAGAAGACCAACAGTGATGTATGGCAGTCAATCTCGATATGTTTGGTGCGCTAATAGAAAACAGGGTTTTTGGCTATTTGGAGGGCAGCTTGACTGTCGCAATAGACAAGAACGGGATGTGATATGACCAAACTAAGATCACCTAAGAGCCGGACCAACCAAGTAACTTCTACAGCCAACTTCCTTAAGGCCCTATATTCAGCCTCAGCTGAAGATAAAGAGATGGTAGGTTATTTCTTGCTCTTCCAGTATACAGATCTGCCACCAAGAGTGATATAAAACCCACTCACAGACTTGTGAGAGATGGCACAAGATCCCCAATCAGAATAAGAAAATCCCACAAGAGATAAATCAGCAGAACTGGAGAGTAAAATGCCTTGAGCAGGATTATGTAAAAGATATCTTAGAATATGAAGAGCAGCCATCATATGAGGGACCAGGGGTTTCTGAAGAAACTGGCTTAGATATTGGACAGAAAAAGAGATGTCAGGTCTTGCGTATTGTAGGAAATTTAATTTTCCAATTAGTCTTCTGTAGACACTTAGATCAGAAATAGGAGCTCCCATGTCCAAAGTAAGCTTAACAGAAGGATCCAAAGGTGTAGAAACAGGGGAGAAGTGATGACAATTGAATTCTTGAAGGAGATCAGTTGTGTATTTCTGCTGATTCATTAAGTAGCCATGGGGATGCTGGGAAATTTCCAAACCTAGAAAGTAATGCACCAAACCGAGGTCCTTGATTTTAAATTGAGAGTCCAAGAACATTTTTAAAGAGTTTAACTCAGAAATGTTATCACCAACCAGCAATATATCATCAACATAGACTGTCAATATAACCAGGGAATGCGAATAGGATTTTGTAAAGAGAGAACAATCATTGAGACTAAAAATGTAACCTCTGGAGTGCAGAGCCTCAGACAGTTTAGAAAACCACTGTCTAGAAGCCTGCTTGAGGCCATATAAAAACTTCTTGAGTTTACAGACCAAGTGAGGAGATTCAAAATTAGAAAAGACATCCATCCCAGGTGGATTTTTTTATATAAACTGCCTCATGAAGGTCACCAGGAGAAAGGCATTATTGAAATCTAACTAGAAGACAGTCCAGCCTCTCTTCACAGCTAAGGTCAGGAGGCATTTGATGGTTGTCAGCTTGACAACAAGTGAAAATATCTCAGTGAAATCAATACCCTTCTCTCTGAGTATCACCCCTAATAACAAGCCTTGCTTTATACCTTTCAATAGAACCATCTGCCCTTTGTTTAATCTTGTAAACCCATATACAAGGGATGGCCTTTTTGTGAGGAGGAAGGGAAACAATATCCCAAGTTTGATTGGATTCAAGGGCCTCATGAAATTCCTTTAGCATTGCTTTTTGCCAAGCAAGATGAGAAGCTGTATGCTGGTAATGTTGAGGTTCATGCACATGTGGCTCAGTGTGGGACACCTTAGATATTGCAGAAACAGGAGCAAGAGGAAAGACAAAGTTACAGATATAGTCTTAGAGGTAGGATGGTTGGATGACAGTTCTGATGGATTTTCTTAGAACAGGTGGAGAAGGTTGATCCACACAAGGTGGAGAGAATATAGGGGCAGAATTAGAGGTAGAATGAGAATATAGAGGAGATATAGGAGATGCAGTAAGAATGTCTGTTGTGACAATAAGAGTAGAAGAAGTATCAGATGTTGCAGGAACACATGTTACATCAGCAGGGATAAGAGAAGTGTCAATATCTACGAAAGGTGAAAAAGTGGAGGCAGGAGTAGTAGAGGATGATGCTGAACCATAAGGGAAGACGTGTTCATAGAATACCACATCCCTAGAATAAAAGATAGATGAGTTGGAAAGATTCATGAGTTTGTAACCCTTTTTGCCACAGGGGTACCCTAAAAAAAGGCTTTGTATAGATCTAGATTGGAACTTGTCCCTTCCAATCTTGGGGGAAGTTACAAAGCATAAGCAACCAAAAGACTTCAAATGAGTATAAGAAGGTGGATGTCCATGCAGTTTTTCAAAGGGGGAAATATTGTCTAAGACAGTTAAAGGCATTCTATTAATTAAGTAGGTAGCAGTTAGGATATAGTCACCCCAAAATTTAAGAGGGAGTTTATATTGAAAAAGAAGAGCTCTAGAAACTTCTAACAAATGTTTATGTTTTCTTTCTACAACTCCATTTTGTTGTGGTATGTATGGAATTATTGTTTGGTGCAGAATACCTTGACTGGTAAAGAAAGCAGCAACCTCAAAACTGCTGCCAAGATCATAGGCATTATCAGACCTGAAAGTTTGGACTGAGGATTGAAAATATATTTTGACCATGAAGGTAAATGCTTTTAGTACAGAAAGGGCATTGCCTTTGCAAGATAAAAGATGAGTCCAGGTAGCCCTGCTATAGTCATCAACTAGAGTCAAGAAGTATCTAAAACCATTATGTGCCCTAGTATTGTAAGGTCCCCAAACATCAATGTGAACTAATTAAAAAGGAGCAGTGGAATTAATATGGCTATCATGAAAAGGTAATCTTTGTTGTCTAGTCATTGGACAAATAAAGCATACAAAAGACTGCTTGGAAGAGATTTTATCAGATAAAAAGGGAATAGATGTCATTCTATAAAAGGGCATATGACCTAGCCTTTGATGCCAAAACAAATCTATTTTATTTTTAGTAGGTGTCTGATTACATGGTAGAGTATTTACAAAAATTGGAAGACAATGAGACTTATTGCAAGAAACAGAATTTAAAAAAGAAGAAGAAACATGTCGAGATGGAAACAAGTCAGCATCAGGATGCAGATAGTACAATCTCCCAGCAGCCTTACCAATTACCAGTGGCCTCTTTAGAGAAGGGCCCTGTAAAGAACAATTAAATTTGGTAAGAATAGCTATGCAATCCAGTTGAGATATTAGTTGATGTATAGAGATTAGGTTAAAATGAAAGGAAGGTACAAGAAGGACATTAAGTAAAGTTATGTCATGCCTGAGATATAAAGAACCAGTTGACAAAATCTTAACTTTATATCCATTAGGTAGAGTAACAAGGAAAGGTTTAGGCAAAGGTACAAGGTTGTGAAGTAAGTGTTTGTGTGGAGTCATGTGATTTATTTCTCCTGAGTCTAATATCCAAAGATTTAGACCTAATTGAGAAGATGTACATATGTGAGAAGTAGTAGAATCTACAACATAAGTAGTGAACAAACCTACAAAATGTGCAAACCCAGATTCCTCAACATGAAAATTGTCAGAACTAACACTAGGGGACACCTGGACTTACTAAAATAAAGTCATCAGGTGATGATACTATTCCTTGGTGAAACCATGAGCAGAATTCTCAGCAGTTGGTTGTGTAGAAACTGTAGATTGATTGAGTGGAATGTCAGACTGGACACAGAAGACTTATTTCTTGCCTTTGGTAAATTTGTAATCTGCAGGAAAACCATGCAGTCTGTAGCGTTTCTCCACTGTGTGTCCAGATTTCTTGCAATATTTGCAAAAAAAATAGAGTTATTCTTCCTGGAGTCAAAACTGATCCTTTGATTGAAATTTCTGTTTGGTGTGGCAGAAGATACAGAGAAAGAGGTAGATTCATTGGAAAATTTTGGAATTGAGGTTTGAGTTTCTCTTTGACTCTCATCTTGTTGCAAAAGAGAATAAGCTTTGCTTATTGGTGGTAAGGGATTCATGAGCATGATAGCACTCTTCACAGTTTAATAGGAATCATTTAGTCCATTTAGAAATTGGAATAGTTGTTGATCTTCTATAAACTTGGGAAGGGCTCCACAAGAACATATGGGCCTACATATGAAGAATTTAATTCATCCCAAAGACTCCTAAATTTGGTAAAGTAAGTGGCAATATCAGATGACCTTGGACAGTTGAACTGATCTCTCTCTGAATTTGAAGATATTTAGACCCATTGGACTGCCCAAACCTTTGATTAATATCAGTACAAACCTCTTTTGCAGTCTTAAAATACATGACACTTGTGGTTATGTCTCTGGAAACAGAATTAATGATCCAAGACTTGACCATGTCATTATATCTCTCCCAATAGGAATAATAGGGAGAGTTGGTAGGAGGTTGGGCAATTCTCCCATCTAATAGTCCTAATTTATTTTTAGCAGAAAGAGAAGTAAGCATGCTACTTCTCCACAATACAAAACCATGTCCATTGAATGGGACAGGTACTAGTTGGCTACCCGGATTGTCTGAAGGGTGCACATAAAAAGGGTGAGAGGGATCTAGTGTGAAGGGAGTGAAACCCTCAGTAGTGGGAACTGAGGGTGTAGTGAGGTTATTTGCATGACTATCCATATTACCTCCTATCACATCCTAAAATCGTACAGTAATAGACAATAGGCTCAAAGTCGATAACATGCAAATTGTTGTATACATGAATTTCCACACTACATAACCTAAATCACATCAGTATAAACTTCAGAGTTGTAGATTAGATCGATATTACCAGCCTTCTTCTCAAAACCCGAAGAAGTGAGGTCTTCGTGCACAACTCAAACCCTAGCATGAATTAAGCCCCAAATCCGTCGAATCCATCATAAATTAGAAGTTCCAGTCGATTTAGACGATGTAGAAAGAGATTCCAGTGAAAGCCCAAAATTTTTGTCCCGTAGTACCGGATTCACCCAATCCTCGTACTTTAACAAAAACAAAAAACGATTCGGTGAGATCTTCAATCGATTTATCGTTAAAGATGAAGCTCTCGTAACGAGGAATCAGAATCCTTGCTCTGATACCATGTTAGATTGAAGCTCAATGAGTTATGGTGAAATCATTTAAAGAAAACCCTAAAAAGGTTGAGAGAGAAGAGAGAGAAACAGGAGAAGGGATTTTGGAAAATAACATCTGGTCTCTTTATTTTTTCTTTCCAGCACTATTTATATTTACATGAAAATTATAGAAAAATACACTAATATTCTTTACAAAGAAAGACTGGGTCGGGTCACTTTGTTGGGTTTTGTTTGGCCAGCTTTGTGTGCAGACTGGGCTCTAACAAATTCATGATGTGAAATTAGAAAAATATGGAGCTTTGTTGAGGTTACCTGTTATGCAAGAAGAGGAAAGTCCACGAAAAAGTCTCATCTTAATGTACAGTAGCTTTTTTTAAAAAAATCTTTCTATAATTATTCATTATCTAGAAATTGATTGGCTCGACTATTTGAATTATTCGTGTTGTATAACCATAACCTTTGATAATTAAATGTCACTTTTATTGCATGGGATTTGCACTTTCTTAAATTAAAAAGACAATTTTGAGAATAAACAAAACTTCCGAGAAAGAATCACTATTCAAATATCTTATTGTCCTGCTCAGTATATTTTTATTTAATAAAAATAAAACTGTTAAAAAAAATTCAAACATTTGTCTAATTTAGATTGAAGGAAGCGATACTTTCCAAGTGTATATTTGTGGTGCAAGCAAGAGATTTAGTGCAATCTAATGGGACCCTCTTTTCTTGTATTCTAATGGTGAAAATGAAGGGATAAATTTTTCATCCTTTCTAAGGACATCTGGAAATGATAGATTTGATTTTGAAAGGGCCTTCCTATTGTTCATCCACCACCTTTGGTTTCAAAAACTGGCAAAGTTACTCAACATGAATTGGTGTCACGTGGACTTCACGTGCAATTGTGTAATGTTGTGTTTATTAGTTTGTGAAGTACTGTAGAAGTTGCTCAAAATTGAGCCCCACCATTGTTGTTCTTCATATGACAACCCATGTCCTAGGATTAGGATCGATCTCTATATCTCAAACACAAGTTCTTGTTTTTCCTTATCCTCTTAATCTGAGGAAACTTTATATATGATTATTACGTTGCTTTTGTCTTATCCCCTGATTTTAATTTAGTTGCCAAAATGCTTAATTGCTTAGTCATTTTCGGTCGTAATCCCTTCTTTCATATAGACCATAATTTTAAGTCTTAAGAAAATCCTCTTTTAAAATTACTACTCTTATTTGAATACCTAAGACTAACAAATATATCTATGAAATTAAAGGATATATAT